AGCAAACATCAAAGCCATGTGCAGTCAATGAGCAACAGATTCTTTTTTTACATTAAAGGGTGTGGTGTGCTATCCTTTAAGTATTCAAGGAGAAGTTGAGGAATGCAGAGATTCAAGAATGGTAGGGAACCAGGTTCCCCATTTATTTCCCTTCTCAAACTATTTGCCTTGAGGTGTCCAGTCCTGTTCTGACCAGCAGTGACAACCTTTGATGCTCATTGTCGATGCTAAAAAACAAGACATCGTCATCCACTACTCCCTTCCACAACCACTTTGTTTTTATAAAGAAAAAAGAAAGAAGACTCTTTCAATGTTGACAATGTTTACTAATTTAAAAAAACACTTTTAAATCATCACTACACAGAGTCACTGGTATGGTGTCCTTAGGCATTTAGACAGTGTTCTCCTGCATTGGACAGTTTTACTGAGCATCAAGTAGCGACGACAGGACTACAGACAACTCTGCTGTTATCAGTTTTACATGGGGCACCTGCTGACCACAGGAAAACACAACTTTTTTTCCTTCCTTGATTAAAGATGGGAGTCACATTGAAGTGCACAATACCTGTAAAAAAACAGTTACAGGTATCAAGAATGCATTTTGGGGAATGTGAAGCATAGTCCTCCACATTCTTTGAACAAGTATAGAGGAGCCTTCAGCAACTGGAAAAATGCATTTGAAAGGAACATTTGGGCATTGCGAGGCCCAGCGTCTCTCTCAGATTTGCAATTTTGCAGTAATTTTCTTGTTCATTTCAGGTCACAGACTCTTGCACTTTCTGCTTATTTGCACTTCTATTGAGATGCCAAACCTCATTTCGTTACTCTATACTTGTATATGTGTAATGACAATAAAGTTGAATCTCATCTCATTTAGAATATAAAAATAGGAATAGTATAAATATGAATATTCCAAATTCAGAATACACTTAGTGCTGCTTTGTCGTAAAAAAAACACGTTTGTCAAGTAGTAAGGATGTATACTTTATAACTTTCCCTTGTCGTATTACTCTTCCAGTACAAGTACACGGTTTGTCTGGAAAGGGGGAACATGAGTAGTGGGAGTGTAGGCTTGCTGCTGAACATATCACCTCTTCTCAGAACACGCAGGGTGCAACAAGTGATCTGATTGTGAAATCACTGCAACATTAATGTGGACTCTGACGGATGATGACATCATCAAAGACAACTCATCACCTGAGGTCAACTTAAGCCTGTTACTGTATCCTCTACTGAGAAAGTAGTACTGAAATCTAAAACTACTCGAGTGTAACAACTTTAAAGTGAAAACACTGTTTTAATCACTCTGTCACATAGTGAAGTTTAATTGACACTTCTAACTTTCTGCTCTTGCCTAATAACATATCGGTTACCTAACAAGCTAGGAAGTACATTTGCACCTGAACAAGATCAGATTGAACATGAGGAAAAGGTCGTACATCATTTCCATGAAGCCTACGTGGACTCACAGTTAGAAACAAATTACTGAGTCGCGATTCCTTCTGCCAAGTTTTAACGCTGCTAATGCTAACTAGCCCCTTAACGCAATCAACCACACAAAACCAATAAACTGAAGGATAACAACTCCAACAAAGACACCTTTCAGAAACGTTTAAGGTTGGATAGACTCACCACTCTGTTCCCCGAGAAAGACCAATTTAAATTTTCTTAAGGGGTTTCCGAAGTCTCCGGCCGCAGACATGTCTGTGAGAAGCTCTGACGTTTCTGTGAGGGAGCTCCCGAGCTAATGCTAACTACTTAATGCTAACCTGCTGTTGTACGATATGGGTGGTACGGGAGGGTGGGGGGGGTCGTTTTACCGGCTTGCCAACCCTTTACACGGGTCGCCTTTGGAGGTTACGTACCCTATAAAGACCCCTTTACGCCTTTAAGACACTTTTGACAACTCTCTAACTACAGCAGCCAAGTTAACATCGCTGTCAGTTGTCTAACATGTCTAGACCAGCTAGCCACCCTGGACTACTCTTCTTCTTCTTCTTCTTCTTCTTCTTCTTCTTCTTCTACTTCACTCTGTTGGTTACCTCGCACATTCTGCCGACCTGCCCCCTACTGGTGAAGAAAACCCACAACGAGAGACTGTGTATCTATATGACAGACACATTACTGTAGAACATAACAACAATATGCACACGTTTAATAATATATCCTGTTAATTTAATCGGTTAAAGTGACTAAAATCCAAGCCTTTACAGCCCAAACAACCTCCAGTGATTGAAGCATGTACGGCCACAAGAGGGCGTACTTACACCAGCATATCTCATGCATAATAACCCTTTGTGAGAATCCATTGACTTTGATAATCTCTTTCATTAGCAGTCCAGAGGGGCATGAATGAGCTGTACACTGTTATTGAAGTGACATTCAAAAAAACGTGTAAGTTTCAGATTGTTCATTGAGCAGTGAACATGATAAAAAGATACGGGCCTGACCCGAGAACAGAATTACAATTATAGTTATGGATAGCTTTAAGTAGGATCTGTGATTGCCTAGTTGAAGTCTAACTTCCTAGGTTTATTAATTAGACACTTCATGTTGGATTGATTTCAGAAATAACTGTGTAGCTTTTATTTGATTTCTTTTGACCCAACAGCTCAGCCGCGACGCTTAAGGCTGAACTTCTGTGGAAACATATATCCTACGGTGAATTTATTCATTTGCAACTGCCTGATACACACAAAAAAAGTTAAATTAGGCCTACCAGAGTTCACAAGTGAAATGCTTTATTTAAAATTGAAAATTAATTAAGAGATTCAATTTATTCGAGTTCAGCTTTACAAGGTCTAAGAAAAAGCCGTTCATGTTAAAAATTTTAAACAAAATATTTTTCATTGACACGATTCATAATCTAAAGATTGTCATGTTGTGGTGAAAATAACACATTAACGGGTAGCACACATTGTAAATCTATTCTATCACACATTAAAAGTAAAATTAAAAATCAAATAATAATAATCACATTTGTTACAAGAAAGAGATGATCCAATATTATGTATTTTAAAGATTTAAACATAAGGGATATTGCTGAGGTACTAAGTAATTATGAGTCTGCTCTTATTTGAATACTACATCATGATTCATCATTATTATAATCAAGTTTATGAATTATCACCACTAATTGAAATATTACCAAGTGCCCTTGTTGTGAGGATAATTCTTCTCTCACATAACTCTCATAAACATTACATGGGTTTAAATATTGATTACCCCTGCAAGAAGTGTGCAGTTCATACAGGGACATTTAAAGGGTATTCTTTAAGGGCATCTTTATGAGATTACACATTAATGAAACTTATAAACTGAAATATGAATAAAATAAGTGACACTTTGCAGTTCTTTCAAAAATATGCATTGAAAAAGAAATACACCTTTTTGCCTTTTCATGAAATGGCTCCCTAACTATTGTGCTAATAGAATTGCGTCTGTGTAACCGTAGATGCAAACTTGTATGACTATGTATGAGCACAGTATGTGTGTTTGTGCGTGCTTGAACTGGCTGTTCTAGGTCACTGGAGACACACCTGCGTCTCTCCTCACTCATGTGCCATCCAGCTTGGAACTCTCTTTTCAGAGCATCGACTGGCTGATGCCAGCGCTTCAGCAGCTCTGCTTACGTCCTCGCCAAACTACAGCCGTCACACTTCCCCTGCCCTACTCCTCCTTCCCCTGCTCTCCTGAACAGCACTCCTGTACACCTACACCATATGTCCTTGGAAAGGGAAAGACCCCAATTCCCCCCGCTGAAGATGCTGAACCATCAAAATCCTTTTTCGCTCTGTCTCCCCCACTCAGCCTCATTTTCACTCACACACATGCAGAGGGGTTTTTGCATGTGTGCATTCATGTACACGCATAGATCAATGTGCTGTAGGTAATACACTGTAGAGGTAGTTGTGTAAGTGGCTGTGATTGTGAATTTGGTCACCTCCCTGTATTTGTTTTCATGATTATAAAAGATGTTCCAGTGGTATCCAGTTCTTCCAAAGCGGCCCAAAGGCATGCACCTCTTTCTGAAACAAAAAGCTGTCAACTAGGAAAGATCGTCAAACAAAATCAAAGAAGCAGAACTAAAACAATTGAACTTGTCACCTCAAGCCATGCCTTCACTCTAGTGAACTGGTCTCATATCATCATTTAATTCAGATGAATTTGACTCAGTCTTCAAATAGGAAAACATTGTTGTGACAAACACCTTGGACAAAAAAAATCTCTTTTCTTCTGCTGTGTCCTCTCTTTCTTGTGTTTTTGTTGTCGTATACGCATGTATTTCCTCACTGTAACTGTAAAACCTGCCATATTCCTAACACACCATACATCATCCAGTGTGTAATGGAGAGACACCATCCCATTCACCCACCACCTTAATATAAATCTAATGAATGCAGCTTTCAATGTCACAGCAAAGTACAATACGGTGCTCATCTCTCTAGAGAAGAGGGGAGAGAAAGAGCAAGGGGGCCATAATGGTGGAGGAGTAGGAGGGGGAAATGGACAGATGAGGAGCAGAAAGGATGAGATGAGGAGAGGAAATACATACAAAGGGGCATGAGGGCTGGGTCAGGGTAAAATAGGTGTGTTGTCATCACCAATACAGTAAGATAGGGAGGAGATAGATGGGGGGTGGAGTGGAGCAGGGACACAATTCCGCTGTAATCCCCCTTCTGGAAAAATATGGGGCCAGATGATGTATGGCAGAGGGAGTGAAGACAAGAGGGTTTGAGAAGTACGGGAAACACCACCGAGCTTCCAGACTGGAACAAAGGATTGCAGAGGAGACAGGGCAGAAAGGCAGCTTGGTTAGATCTGAAATCCCCCTTTTTTCTGTGCAACATCAGGCAGGAACAGACACAGCATTACGGTGGGAGGCATTCTTGCAAGCATAAGTGAAGCAGGGAAGCAATCCAAGCACATTTACCAGAGGACGGAGGGAGGGAGGAGAAAGAACAGATCTATGAGAGGAGGAGGAGGGGATGAGGATGGGGGGTGTTGCATGCTCAGGGAGTGTGACAGAGATAGAGCGATTCCATGAGCAAGAAAGAGACACAGAGGCAGAAGAGAGGGAGAGCACGGAGCAGGGAGAGAGAGGGATGAGGAGCAAACAGTGAGATAGAGGTAGTTTGCAGGGCTGAGATCTGCACACAAACGTGAGCAAAGGAAGGGGGAAGGAGGAAGAGAGCGGAGGGTGAAGGAGAGCAGGAGGAGGGGAGAGAGAGAGAGAGAGAGAGAAGGGGGAATGCAAAGATGATGGAGCCCAGAAATAGGCTTCATAGGACAGATTTTCATCCCGGCTCTCTGCGGCAGACATGACTCTGGGCACTGGACTGTGCTGAAATTAGCCAGGGGGACAACACAGGACAGCAGGTCTGCAGCAACTGCCTCGGTTCAGCCTCACTTGATGCAGCAAGGCAGCTGATTTATTACTGAGGGGCTGGGTGGCAGCGTGTTTGCGTGTGTGTGCATGTGTGTGTGTGTGTGTGTGTGTGTGTGTGCAGGTTTTATGGTTCCTTGTAACTGCTCGAAGCTGTGGGAGCGACCATTCCTCCAGTCATAAAATGACATTCAGCAGGCAGGGGCTTTGTGTGCTGGCGTGGATCTGCAGTCTTCAGTAGGAAGTGGGAGAGAGGGATTTGGAGCTGTCATCGAGTGCAAGTGTGTGTTTACAGTGCTGTTCGCTGAGGTGAGCCAAGGAGGATCAGCTGAATGCAGTGTGTGTCTGTCTTTAGGTTAGAGTAGCAAGGGTGCAGCAAAGGCAAAGATCCCACACAATGCAAGGACGAGTGCAGAGCAGCACTGATGGCAGAAGGTGCAGGTGAAGTACAAGGAGAGTCCTGGGGGTAGGGTGGAGGTCGAAGGCAGGGACAGCAGAGGAGGAAAGAGCGAAGCGAGGCAAGTGGAAAAGAGAGGGTGATCATGGCTGTCACGCAGTGAGCTATAGCATATGCTGTAGCGCAGAACAGAGTGGTGCGGCAGGGGGAGGACAAGCATCACTGCGCAGGGGAGGGGGGAGGAAGGGAGGAAGAGACTGAGGGTGAGAGGAGGGGGGGAGGCAATCAGCTCAGCACCTCTCCTCTACCAGGAAGAGAGGCACAGCGGGACGGGCCCAGGAGAAGACTCACTGACGAGTCAAAGACATACTGACGAGTAGCCAGGTCAACGTGTGGAGGTCAAAAAGGGAGCTGGGACAGGGGTCGGTGTACCCCTGGCAGGTCCAAGGGAACGTGGGCCGGTCCTAAAGAAGAAAAAAAGATTTTGCTGGAGAAAGAGCAGTCGGCTTTTCCAATTCCTGTTTCTCTTGATAGTCCTGCCACCTCTCCACAACCATGGGAGAATGGACCATCTTGGAGAGGCTGCTGGAGGCGGCTGTCCAGCAGCACTCTACCATGATTGGAAGGTAAGACATGACTCGTTTTAGTATGTCAAGGTGTTAGTTTTGTGTTTGTAATTTTGTTTTTCTTAACAGTAATTGGTTCACTAAATGGTATTCTGTATATATATCATTTAACAGCATCCATATAGAACCCCCCACCCCCCTAAAGCTTGTCCCAGTGCTCTCCTCTGATACAGCCCCCCTGACACAGTCATCACTGCCTCCCCCATTCTTTCCTCCTCCCTGCTCTCCTCACCCTTATCCTCCACACTCATTATTAGTTAAGGGATAGACTAATTGCACATCATCAATAGCAGGCATTACTTGGCATTATGGTTAATTCAGAGAGGTTTCTATGTTGATACTACCTAATAGGCTAGCTATTGATGGATAACGCTCAATTTTGTTGGCCACGGACCAATAGGACAGAAGGAGGAAAAGGGAGTGGGAGTGAGAGGGGAGATGAGGTGTGGGAGATGAAAGGACGGTGAGCAAGCAGGTGTGGAAGGTAAAATCAAAGGGGGTCTAAATGGCTCTGAACTCTGAGTGAACTTGACACCAACAATGACAAAAAAAATAAAGAAGTTTGTTCAGTTTGTTCGTATCGACAGAAAGTCACTTGCATCAAGTCTGGTGAGATTATTTCTCGTGCTATATGTGAGAACGGTTTTGTGGCAGAGGGTTGAACAGATGAGCTTTTAGTTTGATAAGCAGCGGGGAAATGCTGAAAATCTGTATGAAAATGGGCTCCACATCATCTCTGTGGGATTAATTAAACGCAAAAGGGGAATTTTCCACCCATTGAACACAATCCAAATGTCACGCTGGGATGCTCATTTGGAAAAGTGCAGAATCAAACTGTTCTAGCGTGTGAAATCTGGATGTATAGATTTGTGATTCTAAAATTGTCTTTCAGCAAAAAAACAATTCCACGAAGACTATGAATTACACTGCACTGGTGTGCTCATTAACCCAGACCTCAGGTTGCCCGCAACAAAGGCATGGCCTAACCTTCTCTTTGCTTGTATGTGTGCTTAGGAAAAGTGTGTTGAGATGGTATGTGTTTCATTCTGCTTGGAAGTTAAAGTACTGAAGAAAGGTGTGTGCCCTTATTGACTACACTGTGCACAGAACCATTAGGCCATACCCCTCAAAGTCATCAACACTGTCACCGCATCAGAGCGACAGAGATGATGTGGGCTGCATTGTAGCCATGTGGATCAGGGATTGTGTGCGATGGAGATTTTCCTTCCAAGAAACTCTACACCAAGTAATTTCAGTGAGTTCTTCTTCTTTGTTTGAATGTGCTAAAGTCAATGAAATCACCTGGTTTAGTCCTCCAATGGAATGAAAACCTGCATAAAATATAACATGTTGACTTCATTTAAAGATGCATTAAGCAATATTTTGTATCATTAATTATATAACTCCCTTCATTTAATGGGAATGTGAGTAGGCCTACTACCGGTTCCTCTGAGAATCAGCACCTCACTTAGAAGCTCTACTCAGCTTTCAGCCACTCTCAGCTCATTGTGTTGGTTTCCGTAATGCCAATTTCAATGACTGCTGTTGACAGTGGGCTGCTGCTCCCAACAAAGAAGCAACAACAAGCTAATTGTATGCTAACTGGCTAGTGGGAGGTGGCAAAGACCAGAAGTAGCTGGTGAAGAAATTCCAACACATAGCAAGCCAAAAAGAGTTGGATATTTTTTTCTCAAAAGCCGGGAGACAAAACAGGGGCTAAATGCCAGTGAATATTGGGATTACATTCAACAGGTGGCCAGAAAAAGGAGACCAAAGGGATGTCCGTGTTGCTCTGTTTCTGCTGGATATGTAAGTAGGCAACTGTTTGCTAACGTGTTAGCCCATAACAACTACATAAGCTAACTGCTAACTGTTGTGAACTTGTTCTGGAGTCTTTCCGCCCCCAGTGGTCAAAAATTACTTAATGCAGCTTTAAAATTCAGTCCTGACACCTGAACCAGTAATACCCTGTGAGCACAGGGTAACTAATCAATCTTTGGTGATTCAATGACTGTTAGCCACCTACAGTTTTTCAGAGGCACAGAAGCAACTCTCAATTTGTCTGCTACCTTTTTCAAGAGTCTCAATAATACTCTGATGATGTAATGGCTTCCTCTCATTTGCTTAATTTAAGTTATTTGTTGATCATGCACGCCACTGGTTGGACTCTAGAAGTATTCTCTGAACACTTCAATTATCCTACATATCTTAAAAAGAGCAGTGCTTTTATCTAGATCAATTCAGAATAGCCTAGTACATATTTCTGCCATATGGCTAAGTCTACCTGATTAATTAGCTGCTGTAACAAAACATAAAAATGATAAAACACTAGACATTTAAATGATACACAGTATGTAATTCATGCAGTTCTCTACAGCCCATTGGCTATGTGCTACTGTGCTGAATACAGCACATTTCTCTGTAAACGATCCCTATGTGTTTTGGCTTCCCTCTGACTGTGTTGGTCCTACAAGGCTCTCTAGTTGACTCGAGGGCATTAGCTGTAACATTAGCTGCTTACCAGTGAGTCTCCCTCCTATTACTCCTATTGCCTGTGGTTTGACAGTCAACAAACTTTGTCTTTGGAATCAATTTGGTCAGTACGTTGCCAGTATTTTAGTTTGTAGAGACAAGAATTTGACTTTTAACCCTTGCTAAACTATTAAAAAGTTGTTCCAGTTTGCTAGATTGAATGTGGGCTAGCAAAAGAAATAGAAAGCATGCTTTTACTGCACAAGCAGGTTTAGAGGATAGTAGTTTATTAGTAAGTTGTGGTTTGGATTTTGGCTTTTTCTTGTAGACAGGCAATTTGAGCAATTAGACTTTTTTAGGCAGTCATAGCAGTTACCAAAAAACACCACTGAAGACTTGATTCCTAATCCGAAGCATGTGTCTGCATGGTCAGGAAATCAATGACACTTAACATTTAAATGATCAGAATGATGGTTTTTTGGATGTACCAGCAAGTTGGAGAATTGTTCACCACTAGCACACATTTGTGCTGTAAAGATGCCTCCTAGATTGTCAACAAGCTACTCCACACTTAAACATGTATGGAGTCAAAATTTCCACACTGACCTCTATGGGTTGAAAGGTTCAAGTCTGTTGCACCACTGACCACGCCCAACAGCACAGTTGGGCCTGGTCAGGTGTAGTCCGTTGCACTTGTGAACAAAACCAACTGTGACATAGTGTTGCACTGTTGTGCAATGTGAAGTCATGCACTTCACAGGGTGTGGTTGGAGCATGCAGCAACTGCTAGACGGCATCACATGTAGGACGTTCAGCCTGTGTGTAGTTGTCCTGAAGAGTTTGCATGTGTACGCTTGCAGTATAACGGATGCAGTTCCAAAGTACAGGACAGTGATGTTGCCCCATGGCTGAGTAGTCTCCCCTGCACCAAACTTTGGAACATGTTTGCATGTCAGTCATCGATTTGAGTGACAATCCCCTCTCTTGCAAATTGAGGAGGTACATCCACCATGAGAGACTTCTGGATCGCATTATTGGATGTCTAGAATCTGATACAGCTACAATTAAGCTGTTTCTTAATTGTAGGTTTTAAGCTAACCTATGCCCTGGCATAGGAATGGTAATTAGCTTAGCCATACATAACAGTGTTCAAAATAGAAATGCACCAACCATGCAGTGGCATAGGTTAGCTTAATTGTGGTCTTTGAAAGAGACAGACAAATGGAGTTGCTTCTGTGCCTCTGACTAACCACAGGTGGCTTGCATATGACTCATTCAAAGAATAATGTTGTGTTGTGATTTCCATATGCCTGACTTCTAACCGGGCAATGTACAAAGTGTGCATGGATAACCGATGACTGTGATCATGATAACACAGTGAGAGAAATCATTGTCAAGGCTGCATTAACCTCATTCTCTAGCCCAAACCAAATGTACCATATACTCACAGCTATAATGACCCTGGGGGTTTCACCATTAGATAACTGACAATTCAGAGTGGCCTCAGAAGTACCCCACTATATCTCTCTCTTTCTCTTTTAATTAAGCAAATTAATTACATTTCTGCTCTTGACGGGCGGAGTGTAACCTGCTAACAGGTGATGCCATACGGCCACTGAAACAAAAACCCACAAGGGGTTATTTGGCTATTTTAATGAAAATGGAAGGTACTCATCTATACCTGTTTGTGTCAAATTTGCCAATCAATCTTTCTCTGCAGTGACCATGAGTTGATTGGCTGTCAAAGTAGCATGTTGCTACACTGAACAGATTATCACATGTTCTTTAGACTTTTTCACATAATTTCTGACACAAGAATCATCAATATTTTTCTATCTATGTGCTAATTATACCCTGGTATGTTAATGTAAATTAATACAGCTGCCTTGACAATGTTTGTAGTCATCTTGTGTGTCTTAAAAGTTTAAACACATTGGAATCAAAAGACTCAAACTAAGAAACACTTGATCTTAGCAACAGGGTAATTTTGATTATAGTCACTTACAGTTAGTAAATACCTTTTGTAGTATAAAAGAATTGAGAGTTTTGCAACTTATAGAACTCGATCAGCCAACATTTTCTGGTAGTTCTGATCCATTACAGTAACACAGTCTTGTTTCTTGAGTTACAAATGGTAGATTAATATTCAATTTACTCGTCCTTTCTTTGTTTTTTATACTATACTTCCCTATCATACAGGAATTCAAACACTGTGAGACATACTCATGCAGATCTGCCAACACCAGGGATTTGACCACACAACACTGCAAACAGTTGGATATGGAGGGCACAAAGGGTCAGCTTACATGTGCTGAACAAGACTTTGTCAACCTTTTTTTTGCTAATGTCCTTTTTATTTTTACAAGATATAGATATGTTGATTATATACATTTTTATTCAATTTTCAATACTTTATACGACAAACTGAACTTGCATATATAACCTTTATTGATACAACTGTGGATTAATACCGCACTACATGCTACATCTTTCCCACATGTGGTGCTCAGATGTTTTTGCAAAGCATAGGTGTGCATGTTTGTTGACTTGTAAATAAATTACACATTCATCTGTGAGAGTATGAAGCCTTTGGGTTTGAGTTATGTTATCCACCTTGCAGGTAGGAACAAGGAAAAAAGAAAGGAAGTGTGTTGATGCGTCTTCCCCTGCACTGCAATGCTGTAGTGAGGTCAGCAACAAAGACAAGTAGAGCGAAGAAAAAAGGAGGCAGAGATAATGGAGGACTGGAGTGATCTAAGGAGATAAAATAATAAAGGTTGCCGGATGGAAGGATGGAGAGGAGAGGATGTGAGGCGTACAGGCAGAACAAAAAGGGTAAAGAGAGAGGGGGGGGGTTGCTGGAGTAAAGGAGACAGAGGAAGGAGGAGAAGTTTTCCCCTCTGCAGAGTTTCTGTGCTAAGAATCTGTGTCACAGCTCCTTCCTCTAGAGCTACTGACTGACCCGCTGCCGAGGAAACAGCTTCACACACACACACACACACACACACACACACACACACACACACACACACACACACACACACACACACACACACACACACAAACACACATATTAACGAGGATTTCTATCGGAATGCATAAAGCTCTGAGAGGAGTTCTTGTAAAAGGTGAGGACGATGCCATCCAGAGAAAAATTACATGCAATAATAAACATCTTTGCAAATCCAGCATTGCAGGTTTGGCTGCAAACAGCTCATTAGATAAGAGACTGGACGCTCTCTTGAAGAAAACAAACTCATCATTGTCTTCAATTACACTTCAATTCAATCAGATTAACGGTGATTATATAAATTAGGATTTGTTAATGATTAATTTAAGCACTCTTTGGTAAATGTCAACATTCTGTTATGTTTACTCCTAAAAGACACAAACCATCTATTATTTAACATCCATCACTCCCCACTTGAGCATTACAAATACTTCATAAATAAATGTTATGAAGCCCTTGTTGCGAGTTGACACTGATGTCAAGTCATTCATTAAAAATGAATGCATATTTGGCCAGCCGTTTAATGTAATGGACAAAGTGGTTTATTGAATACCTTGTTGCAACTGTAACTCTGTTCATATCATTAAAAAGCACTCGGATGGACAGTCCTAAAAGATCAGACGAAAACAAATGCATCTCCATCCTTGTCTGTTTGCACTAAACGCAAAATACAGATGGTGATCTCTTTTCCCCTCCTGTACTCTTGGTGCAAACATCGCTGTTCTATCTCCTCTGTGCAGAAATGGGTCAGGACATCCACAGGAAGGAGGCACCCTACTTTGAGAAGGCCACTCTACCTCTCCCAAAATAATTTGAGATGTGGGACACTCTGCTTTAATTGAGGGCATCATCCATGTTTGATATAAACCAGAGTATATTTCATGTATCATTAATAACAGCTCCCTGGGTAGAATCTATACAGTCTGGTAAGATTGTGTTGCAAAGCAAACAATGGAAGCAATATTTCAGCGTTTGACAGGATTAGTAATCCATCATCCTGCGGCAGGTCGCGGGACTTTCAAATTAAACCATTTTTCTGCACATCCAGAGTTGTCATTAGTTTATTTGTGCAGCGCTCCCTGATGTTGAATGCTATTGATTATTCTGTTCAACGGGGATTTCGCCAGTAAAGCTGAGCTCAGCTTTCATCCAGCGAAGGCAATTATTCATTTCAGCAACACATCGATGGTGTGTGTGTGAGCTTTACTGGGCGTGTAATGTTTCTCTATACACATCCTAAATGTTCTTTAATCCAATGATTTCCCCACCAGTGTTACAATCCTTTAATTAGGCTTGAACAGGATTTCATAACTTGTAATGTGATGTA